ACTCTGATTAATACCAGGAATTATATTTTTCATTATAAATATATATGATTTTCCATTACCAACCACATACTATTTTAAACTTAAACCAGCACTGCATCTCTCTTTCCCCCTAAGAACAGTTTCCCCCAACTACCCTTATATCTTGTCTCCTTACCCAAATGGTGACAAAATCGATTGCGCCTGTAAAAACAATGGGAAATCTCGAATCTTGTTGACTTTGTCAATGGGTCCTCGAGAACATTAAGGGAGACAAAGATGCCCAGATAGGCACATCCTGTACACCCTATAAAACCCTACCCAATCCCCTAATATATGATCGATATATTCCCCTTAGGCGCAGCACAGCGCCTCTAAGATTACCCCAAAACTTAGACTTTTGTCAAAGAGTGGCAGTGGCGGAGTGGAGAATGAAATGATGGTTGGTTGTGCTGCAGGAACAGGGTGGTTATAATAGGCTTTTATATATTTGATTTTCCTAGGGCCTGAACCTCGCCCACGCACAAATGTGTTTTTGAGTCCGGCAGAAAAACCCAGGCACTCAAACTGAAAATGAACCCAAAGTCATCTATCAGCTGGTTTGGGTATGTATATTTATTTCTGTGTGGGCGGACGGGCGGCCTTCTTTCTCCACCACCTTACCATTATTATCCCCCCCTTGGTTTTGCTGTTTTCCGTGGGATTCTGGGGGTTGGTTTTCCTGTGACGTCAGTCACACTCATTGAGGTTATGTTAGGTCTACCTAAGGTAGAAAACCATTAAGGGAAAATTCGTTTCTAAGTGGGAAAGTCTGCGCAGCATTTGGCAGGCTTTTCTGATGTCTTTTCTTCTTTGTAAATTTAGCAAAATTTGTACTTTTCCATAAATGATATTTGAAACACTCCATCACTTGACAAATATCTATTGATTGCTTAAAAAAAAACATCATTTAATATTTGTCAAATAGACAAATGTATATAATATCTGCACAAATATATCCTCAAACCTCAATCCAACATAAATAAAGACCTCCCAAAAGGTGTTACTTTCGTCGTGTGCAAACTTCAATTGATTTGTAATTATTGTTATTCATTATTGATTCGCAGTCTCTGCCAAATAGCTATATGTATGTATAATATTTTTGCACAAAAAATGGAATAAAATTTCCATTATGCAAGCGTTCGACTGACTGCCGCGCTGCTGTTGCTGTTGCTGTTGCTGCTGCTGCCCACAAAATGCGTCCTAATTTCCAATTGAAAGGCCAAACTTTGAGCCACGAAAAAACTGGACAATGTGCCAATGCTGAAGTCAAGTGGGCTTTGTGAAGTCTTGTGGCAGCCACAACAGCCACAACAGCCGAAACAGCTGAAACGGCTAAAAACAGCCAAACACGGCCAAAAGACAACTGAAATACCAGCAACCAAATCTCAAACTCCGGTGTCCACAACTTCATTTGTCTCGCTGTCAATTTGTATTTCTTTTTCTTCGATTTTTGTCATTTTTTCTCTTAACATATAAATTGGGCCATAAGCCAGCAGCAACACCAACATACATAGTTTTATTTTTTGTTTGTATCTTTTTCCATATATCATCCCATCCATCCAAGTCCAATTATGCACAGCTCAAAAGTTATAAGAAATAATAATAATAATAGTGTACGAGTATATGTATGTGCGTCGCCCAATTGGCCAACATTTTTTGGCATTCCGGCTTGTGCAGAAATCTTTGCCCCTAAAAATTGATTGACGGCTTGCAATTGTCAAATGTTTCCATTTTGGCAGGTTTTTTCTTTCCTTCCTTTTTTTTTTTTTTTAATTCACTGGTCATTAGGGTTAAACTTTTTTGGGGCGAAATTTATTGTGACATCGGAAGGGGGTTAATTTAAATGCGCTTTAAATAGTTTCTATTGACGGTTTAGGGGGTCTAAAAGGGGGCTAAAATAATATTCATATTTTCTATGCCATCTAGCTACAATTTAATGTTAAATCTGCCAAAATAAATACAAAGCTCATTATCTATTTGTTTTATATTGCAGTAGAACTTTAAGTAATAATATTTGCACCATTTCCCCACTAAATCCCTTTTCTGTGGAAGATTTTCTGCTGGCAAAACAAAAAATATTATTTATCGCACACTGCATAAGAATTATATAGTACAAAGAGAAAAAAAAAACAGAACTTCCCTCCATTAACTCACTTCCCTCACCTGATTTTCCTTATCTGTTTTGCGACTGATAATAAACAAAATAAGCTCCACAGAACGCATATTTCTTGGGCCAAAACGCTCCAAAATTATGCGTTGATAAAGCAAACGAACCAAAAAAATAAATAAATTAAAACAAAGTCAAGACAAAACGTGAAACGAAAGCAAACGCAGCAACAAGTTGGCTTTATTGAGCGAATGCGGAACCAGAGAAGCATGAGAAACCGACTCGAAATGGCTAACAAAAAAATGAGTATTACCAAGGAAAAATAACCCGTCTGCGGCGGAGAACCTTAACTGCTACATAAGGCAATTTTTTGGCTTCGAAATTCCAAAGGAGTTATATTGAAAAACATGGAATAAGTTAGGGGAAAGAACATAAGACAAGGGCAACACAGAAAATTATAAGATATATAGTCAAAATAACTTCAAATTTAACTTATATAACTTATTTATAATTATAATATAGAAACACTCAACATTCAAGCTAGCAAATCTGTTATAAAATAGAGAAATTTGCAGCGTTTTAAGTGATCAACAGCATATAATATAGCAAAACATTTACGAGAAAGTTGAATTTATTATAACAAATTTGAATCCATTAAATTTTTAGCAAACACCTAATTTCAAAAGTAACAGTTAACAGTTTGGGATCGTATTTCTCTCTTGTTTCGTAATTAAGAACCTAATATTTATATTTCGGAGTCATATGATTTGATAATGATATTTTTAGGACCATAAGTCTACGAATATAATCAAATCAACTAAAGATATCAATTAGCGCCCTCCTAAACTACTTTTCTTAAGTATTTCCTAATGAAATATATATGATTTCCATGGGGATTTTACAACCAACACTTTGGGGATACTTTGGGCTCTCTGATAAGAATTACGGTTTGGGAACCACAATCGATGACAGAAAAATTGAATTTCATGCGACTGCCTGCTTACGAAACTCGAAAACGTCGCGATTGGGATTTAAGTTTTATTATTAATTTTTCTTTTTTTGTATTTTGTGTTGATAACGCGAAGCTTATCAAACAGAACGGTGGACTAGAATGATAGATGGGGCCCCATAGAAGTACGAAACAGTGGCGTTCGAAAGCAAACGACCTTCGTGAGGGGGTGAAAAAGGGGCGTTTGTGGGTGGCGGAGTCTAAAGAACTTTAACGAAACGATTAAATGCTAAACTAATGAGGCAAAAGCAAAGTAAAAATGCAAAATTATAATGAAAAAGGGTAAGAAAATATGCAAATCTAGCTGAATATAAAGGTAGTCAAAGGGCATTCGAGAGATATAGAAAAAAGAGGGAACGAGGGACTTAGAAAGAGACGGAACATGAGGGTCAGTTCGCCAGCAAACGGTAACAGCTGCTCTTTGAAAGAGTGAGAAAAAAGGGAGAAAAAGAGCAGAATGAGGAAGACAAGCAGGCGAAGGAGGAGGAGGAGGAGGAAGAAGAGGGAAGCAGGCAAAGAAACACAAGGAGAAGAACGAGATGCACAGTGGTTGCACAAACCTAAAATTCTATATAATAAACCCAAATCCCTTGAACCGAAATCAGGTATGTTAGGAAACTAAAATCTCTTGATACATACACAGTCCGTAAAGGAGATCGATCATCTGGGGAACTTGACATAGCCAGATTACTATTTGGTAACTATTTTATAGAATACATAGGACGAAAATAAACCTCGCAAACTTCATTTATAGTAATACTAGTGGTATACATTTTTGTATACTTAAGAAAATGATTCTTATACGAAAAGTTTACAATTTTCTCTGGTGCCATATTACTCATAGTACTCAGAGAACATTTTTTCAAAATCCAACCAGAATTTAACTAGAAATTCGAGAGTTTGGTATACAAAGATATTTACAAAAATATTTATATAGTAGTACAGATAGATAGTTCATATTTTTCAATATATCTATTGATGATTTTCATAACAAAACCACTGTGCCGTTATCCACACAAAAACTCTCTTTTTGTCTCCCGTTCACATGTCAATGTGTGTATGTTGAGTAGAAGCTCACACACATACAAACAACTCGCAAGAAAGAAGAAAAAAGTAAATAAAACAAGTTTTGAGACGCAGAAGTTTTTCAGAAAAATAAAACAGACTTGCGACTGACTTTCTTTAACATTTTTAGCTTTGTTTCGGTGTTTTTGGGATTTCGCTTTTATTTATTTTTTGGCAGCTGCTTTTGCACAGAAAGAAAATATCGATATAAAATGATATTCAGAACGTTAATTTAAATGAAAAAATATGTTAAATCAAACGAAATATATGTAGAAAGAAACTTGGTAACGTTGTAACTCTAAGGTAGTATTTAGGTTCTTACGCAGAGAAATCTAAGCAATATACGCATTAAAATTTTACTTTTATTAAGATTTAAAGAAAAATCTTGTTGGATTAAAATCCATAAAACTCATTACACTCTTTCCTTACATTAAAGCAAACTAAGAACAATACTTGTTATTATAAAAAATATTTAACTTTTTAGCCAACTTTCATTACATTTTCTCGGCGAGTTGAACTAGTTAGGATGGTAACAGAATAAATAGTTAAAAGTATACAGGTATATCTCAGATTATATAGTTCTGTTTAGAAACAATCTTTAGAGATCTTGAAATGATCTTTTTTTGTTAATCTTGTTTAGATATAATCTTTAGAGATCTTGAATATCCATTCCATTTCATATCGAGTTCATTTTTTCTCTGTGTGGAGATGCGAGAAACTTGTTTCTTGATTTTTTTGGTTTGGTTTTTTGGCAAGGGAAAAGGGGAAAAAGACTGCGAAACTTAAAACTCTAAAACTCACCTGGCAAACGGCGTCTGTTCCACCTCGTAGATCTCGTTGATGTCGTGACACGACACGAGGAGTCCCTTTAGCCGATCGGCGTCCACATCCAAAAGTCCGTCGCCAATGGGAAAAATTCCCTTTTCGGTGAACATTTTGTGTGTGTGTGTGGTGGTGGTGGTGTGGTGTGTGTTTGAAGATCGAATCTTCTTTCGATTTAGGCTTTATTTATTTAATCCTTCGTTTGATTCTCCTTTTTTGTAACTTTTGTATTTCTTATATTTGGAGGGGTAAAAATTCAAATCTCAACTGCACAGAACCAAAAAAAATTGTAGTTTAGTGATAAAAAACACACACGCTTAAAATAATTCTGCGGAAAACGTTGCGCGCGCTCTCTTTTTCCACCGAGAGAGAGCAAAAGATGGAGTAGAGAGAGAGATGGACAAAATTCCAGTACAAAAAAACAACAAAAATAATAAAAGAAGCAAAAACTATGCAACTGCAGCACACACACAAACGCGCGCAAAGAGAGGCCCGAAAAATTCCCGCGTGTGTATGTATGTGTGATGCTGTTGCTGCTATTGCTACTGATGTTGTTTTTGTTATTTTTGGTATTGTCAAGTACCGTTCCGAAGAACTCCTTCTGCTTCTTCTTCAACTTCGATTCAGCAAAAAGGTTTGACGGGAATAATAGTCCGCAGTTTTTGGCCAGGTTTTTGTTGCTTTGTTGTTTGTTTGCGGAGGTACGGAGGTAAAACTCGCAGCGGAGCAGCGCGCACGAACCGTTCGTTGGCGGACTTAAATTTCAATAATTTCAATTACTCGCGTCGTGAAGTGTTACCGGACGTGGACTGCCCAAATCCCCTCGATGCAGAAACATACTAATAAATCTTGCGGGCAAATACATAATTTGGTCACACTTACGCGCGAATGTTAACGTAAGCCGGAGTTAACACTAAACATCGAATAGATGTTAACAGTCGCAAGACCTGCAAGAAATTAAAAAAAAACTAAAATTATTTATCGCATAAACTGAAAAAGACATTTAATAGTTATCTCCCGTAATTGCGAAACTCTTATTTCATGGGAAAACCTCTATAAAGAAATATACTAAAAGATACTGAAAATGCGGAATAGCAGATAACAGCACTGGTTAACGACCTTTCGAAATGTAATAACATATTTAACGATTGTAATAAATGTAAAAAAAAAAAGGAAAAAATAAAATGCTTTATCTTTATATTAATGTCTATAATATCCACTATATTAAATGATTTAATTTAACGCTTTTGAAAACTAACCCAGTAAAGTTTACAGTATTGTAATTGGTTACATCGTTCATAGCTAGTTTGTTATTTACCATACATGGTCACACTGCGTCATGTTCAAAACATGTTTTTATTTATTTAAGTTTTTCTTTTAAAAAATACGCGTTTTTCCAAGAGATCCAATTTGTGTGGCGCCTGTTGTCGGGGCGTGTAGGCGTGGCATGACGGCGAGGAATAGAGGGCGGGGAGCAGCCTACAAATAGTTGGCATCTAGCATCTCTATTGAATTCTCAATTTTATATTTATATTTATGCTTGCAGTTCCCTGGCTTTTCCTCGCCCTCCAAGTTTTTCCGCCGTTTTCCCTTGCGTGTGTAGGTGTGCTCGCCTGTGCGAGTGTGTGTGTGCTCCACTTGCAAGCCAATGCACATTTTTAATGCACTCTAAAAATGATTTATAACCACCTTAAATTATTACAATAAATATTATGAAGCTTATGAACATTTACATTTTAACATATTATAAAGCTGTTGATTTTTTCTTTGAATAGAATGTGTAGAATTAATTTCAACTTTTTAAAGTAGAAATCGTAAACCGATTTAACGGTTTTTTAAAATATTTTTTGTAAGTGTGATCGGATTGGATGGGATATGCATTGGATATGCGTTATGTTTGCATGTTTCGTGTGTGTTGCATATATTTTTGTCACCACGACGGCATCTCAGGAATGCGGAGCACCAGAAATAAACCAAGTGCAAAAACCTTTAGCATCCGTCTATTAATAATGCCGTCGTCTCCGGATCTCCTCAAGATTTCTTTTTTTTTGGCCGGGCGGTTGCCTCGTTCCTGATTTTCTTGCTGCGAACTCGCCAAAAAACTCCTCTTGGCAGCCGTTCAAGTTTAGCAGATCCGGCTTTTGACCTACGGAAAATGCTTTGGCCAGTGCGAAAATAGAAAATCAGATTGGCGACCGATCGCAAGTAACTCGAAAAACGGCAGACAACTAAAAAAAAGGAGTATTTTTGAATTAAATTAGAAGTTTTAGCTCATTTAGGAGGTAAAACTTTATGGAAAGTTTATTTCGAAATGAAATAAAGTTTCCAATTATGCCAAGAAAGTAGTATTTTCTACAATTATGCTTTTAAATATTTAAATGATCCATTATAATCAATAATCAACCCTATTATAGAGCAGTTTCTCTTTAAAAAATATATATTTTACTCTAAATATATCCTGAACAACTTGCGATTTATCCTTTGGAATAGAGGTTTCCTGATGAATAAATCCGAATCCAAGACGAGCGACGACAATGGAGAACACTTTTGAATTTGGCAAGCCCCTAAATCTGCCTTTATCTTATTTGGAGGCCTACTGAGCTTTGAGGTAAGTTTGGGATGACGTGGAATGGATATAAATTGGGCTATTCGGCGCAATATGGGCATTGGGGACCTGCGGTGGCCTCCTCATCACCGCTTTCACCATCAGCGCTTCCGGCTCGGCCACCGCCACCACCGCCACCGGAATCCTCGCCCTCAGCACTGCTACGATAATCATCAATGATGGCCTGTAACTCCTGTTGGGCATCCTGGAACTCCTGCTCTTCCATGCCCTCTCCAGTATACCAATGCAAATGGGCCTTACGCCGCAACATGGCCATGGAGCCATCCAGTAAACGCTGGAATAGCGACTGAATTGCCGTGGTGTTACCTATAAAACATAAATCCCGGATTAGTTTGGTATTTGGCACAGAAGGAAATACTAATAATAAATTAATATTAAGAATAAATTATTATAGGAATCCCACCTATAAAGGTTGCCGACATCTTAAGACCCCTCGGTGGTATATCGCAAATAGCAGTCTTAATGTTATTGGGTATCCAGTCAACAAAATTGTTAATGTTCTTATTCCTAACGCCGGTCATCAGTTGATCCACTTCTCTCGGTGACATCCTACCCCGGAAAATACCCGCTGCTGTCAGAAGTTTTCCCTTTCGCAGATCGATGGCACACAACAAATTATTGCTGGAAAAGATCTGCTGCACTAGCTCTGAAACGGTGCCCTTGCTAAACTGTTGCTGCTTGCAGGTAACCAACGGTGCGAATCCTGGTATAAGGAAGTGCAGCCTTGGAAATGGCACCATATTCACATAGATCTTGCGCAACCCGGCATTCAATTGGCCTGGAAACCTGAGGCATGTGGTTATACCCGACATGGTCAGGGCCACAATATGATTGATATGCTCATAGCCGGACATTTTGATCTTCAGATTTCGATTGCAGATCTGGAATAGTGCCTCGTTGTCCAAGCAGAATGTCAAATGGGAATTATTTACCAAAGCTGGAGTACTCAGTAGAGCATTGTAAGGTTCCACCACCACCTGCGACATATTAGGCGAAGGAATTGTCACATAGTTGCAGAGCAAGTTGTCCGGATACTGTTCCACCAATGCCTCCATTATCAGCGAGGTCAGGCCAGAGCCTGTGCCTCCACCAATCGAATGGAGCAGCTGAAAACCCTGCAGTGAATCAACCGATTCCACCTCCCGACGAGTGTTGTCCAACACCTGCTCCAAAATGGCGGCACCATCTGTATGATAGCCACGGGCAAAATTGTTCCCAGCACTCTCCGATCCAGCTACAAAGTTCTCCGGTCTATACAACTGACTGCTGGCGTTCAAACGTTGAATGGTACTGGCCTCCGTATCGATGAGTATGGTACGGGCATAGAACCTTTTGCTAGCCGTGGCATTAAAGAACACATTAATTCGCTCCAATTGAAGCGGACTGGTGCCACCAAATCTTCCCGATGCATAATCCACACCATGTTCATGCGAGATGACGTGCCAAAACTGGAAAAATGTGTTGCTGGTTAGAATTAGGGCATTAGTAAGTAAGCCCTAGTTTACCTACCGAATCACCAATGGCATTGCCGGCTCCGCCGATCTGCAGGGTGACTATCTCCCGCATATTGACCCTAAGTTGTTTCCTTTAAACCACTTACTTGGAGGCTACTGCCTCATCCTCTCCTTTACCTCTTCTCGCTCGGTCGATTTGCTGCTCGGTTTTCATGAGGCTCGACTTCTCCCTGCCGCCCTGATTATAATTTTGTATTTTTCCCAGAGACAACTTTTGCTAACTAACATTATATTGTGAGTTAGGGAATTTTTGAAGAGGCTCTTAGATAAATATGTATATTTTGAGTAGCTAAGGAGTTATAAACCATCTGGTCTGAAGGTTTAATTCATAATATATAGACTTAGACATTACGAAGTCTGTCTTTTGATATAGACACATATTTTCACTGTTAATTAATTCATATTATTTAGAATTAATGCAACACTAACTTCAAGTACTCTGGACGAACTATAGGACAACACAAAACTACAACATTTTCGCAATTAATCAAAATCTAAACACATATGTTAAAGCAAAAAGTCAAAGTCGTCTTACCACAAAAGTGTAATTTAATGAGACATAAAGTGAGGAATTTGGTTTAAGAATAAAAAAAAAGATGTGGGTTTAGCTGACTGCTCCTGGGACTTGCTCCTCTTCCAGCTACTTGTCCTTCTTGTCGGCGGCGAGGGAATTGAACAGACGGTTGACCTCGTTGGCCACCAGATTGTCCAGAACGATGCCGTTCTGATCGATGAAGGCAGCGCAAGACTTGTTGCTGCTCTGCTCGCGCCGTTTGCCATTTTTAGAGTCCCGGACGCTGAGAGTCAGCAGATACTTGTCGTCATATTTTCGCATGTCTGAGCTGGCCTCCCACAGGCGCTCTCGTTCCTTGTCCTTCTGCAGGGCTACCGCAAAGGTGCCCTTTTCGCGGAAACTGGAATGGAGGGTAAGGATGCCGAGGAGAGCGAAGTAAGCGAGAACGCTGAATAGAAGCACTGGACGGGATTCTGGGAAGGGGTGGGTGAAGTCCCAAGCGTGAGCCATGATGGCCACGAGCACGGCGAGGGCGCAAAGGGCCAAGCGGGTGTTGACCAGGCCGAATTGTTCCTTCAACTGGGGACGATCGCCCAGGAGGCAGGTTTTCACTGCATCATCTAGCGCGTGCTTCACTGCAGATCCATCCCATTTGTTGACCTTGACGAGCTGGACGAAATACAAATAAAATGGAATCAGGTAAATATAACACCCAATATACAATGACGTGTCTTGGAACACATCTTGATGGACCAAACGCTGAGCCGGCATCTGGTTTTCTCACCTCATCTCCCGGCTGTGCCTTTTCCTCCTTTTTGCCCATTTTCAATTTACTTTATACACTCTTTTCCTGTCCTTAGTTATTCAGAAAAGCTTGTGTGGCAGCCAGGGAAAACTCTTTTTTGCAGGAGTTTCCTTCTTTTCTTTTGACAACGCGACAACAAAATTTTGTATCGTCTATCGCTTTCAATCGATAACACGCAAACGGTGTTGCCCTATCGACAAGTGAAAAATACTAAAAAATACCTTTCAAATGCAATAAAGTGCGCGCGTAATTCAAGTATAAAATTAAGCTTGGCTTTACAAAAATATATTAAAATATAATCTCACAAAATAGAATGAAGCTCAGAAAATACATATTAAAAATATTTCTTTTAAAGATTTATAAATTTAAAAAAATAACATCCATTTATTATCAGCTGAAATACCGCATATAAGCGTGTATTTTCCATTTAAAGATATAAAAAATGGCTGAGCTAACTTTCACACAAACAAAACGGAATTTTTACATGAAAAAAAAAGTTATACAAAAGAGTGTCTATAAATACAGAGTATGGAATCAATTCACATGGACTTCATCTGCGCCATCAGGTCCTCCAAACTGGTTTCGTCCGCGGGCGCGGTGGTTACAGTTTCTTCTGGATTTTCGGTCGATTTTTCAGGAGCCTCGTAGGCGAGTCTAAGACCTTCGCCAACCTCAGCGGTTTTTGCAGGCGTTGGATTACTTTCTGGTGCGTCTTCTGCCACCAATTCAATGCCCCATTCGTTGGTGGCATGCAGCGGCTCCTCGCTGACTTCCTCCTTCGTCACTACAGGTTTGGGCTTGGCCTGGAATTCTTTTTGTCTTACCAAACAGTTTCTGTCGTCGCATTGAGGATTCGGCTTAAGCGTCATCTTCGGAAAGAAGTCGCTAAGGGCGTTATATCCCAGATAGTCGGAAACTTCGCCGAAATTCAGCAGATACTTTAAGGCATTCTGGACGAGAAAACCAGCCGTTATGCCCATTGTTGTGGGCAGTGAGGCCGCACACACGCCTTCCCTTTTAAGGGTCTTCTCGTCAATGTTCTCTGCCACTACCAATGGAGGAGCACAAGCAAAACAGGCCGTGTCCCCTGGACGGATAAACTGAATGTGACCTGAGACGGCATTCTCTGAAACACCCGACTCAAACCAGTTGAGATTACGCTCATTACAAGCCGCATTGATGGCCATTCGTGCCTCGAAGTTGTCCACACAGCTGAGTACCAAATCCACTGGCTGTCCAGCAACTTTAGCACCCTGCGAGATTGTGTCCAGGAAGCGATCAAAGTTATCCACTGTCGTGATATTGTAGTTGTGGGTCTCAATCTGTACGTCTGGATTGATGAAGCTTAATGTGGCGGCGGCTGCCTCGACTTTAGAGAGACCTGCCTGGTCAGGAGTGAAGAACAGCCGGTTCATATTGGCCAGCTCCACTTTGTCGTAGTCGAACAGGATCAGTTTTCCAACCCCGCAACTGTAAGGGATTAAAAGTGTTAATAAGAAACTTAGCTTTTAGAAAGATGTATTGTATTAAAATGACTATTGTACGGATGCTTTAGAATAAGCTCATAATGGTGAAATCAATTATTTTCCTAGCTTTGTACGAACCGTGTTAGCATGTCTGCGGTGACGCTTCCAACACCGCCCACACCCACAATGGCCACCGCCTTGTCCCGGATCCTTTCGTAGTCTTTAACGATGTTCATTCTCTGCAGGGCCATCAGGCGACTGTAAGGATTGGAGTCCACGACCTCAGCGGACATGCGTTCGATGCGATCGCGTACCTGGCGGCTGTTGTTGCTTCCCGTTGCCTTTGGCTCCTCCAGCTCCGTCTTTAGTTCGGCGATGATCGCCTGTAGTTCATCGATGGCGTGCGACATCCTGGCGAAGGTCTCCTACAGATCCTGACTCTTGTGTGCGGCTACAAACGCCTCTAAAACGTAAACAGTAAACTTTCGCTTTTAAGTTCGCTGTCGCCGTGTCACTTTTGACCTGCGTTGCCAGATGGGAAAACTGATTTAGAGATGGACAAACATCGATAGCTTAGCTAGTAAATAGCCAAAACACCGCAGAGATGTGAAAAAAACATACCAAGAAAAACAGTGTTGGCTAACACAGTAATTGGTGCGCTTATTTGAATTGCATTTATAATCAGCTTGAAAAAACAATTTATTATCTGTGGGAAATAACATCTTAGGTATCTTAGAAAACTCAACTTTTGATGAATTTATTAAATAGATTCAAGATGATAAACATTGCCTGGTATATTGCTCCACATTTTCAAGATTAAATTTAAATTAGAATTAAATTTTCCGTAAAATACCCACTTTTAATGTTTTAACTTTTCTTTATCCATTCACTCACCTTATTTTCGATTCATCTATATCGATTTGTATAATTACACAAAAGATTTATTGTCAAAATCATTACACAAAAAAGGTATTATAATTATTAAATAACCAAAAAAAAAAAAAAGAACAGTTAAAGGAAGATGACGATAGTAGTTGTGGTTGCTTTTCGTGTTAAATGCGACAAAAAAATAATTATTATACTATTCAATAAATCGAGTGTTGGAGCACGTTTATTATTTAATATTATCAATATTACTGTATAAACCGGTGACTATCACTTGCCAACAAGTAGAGATATATGTATGGATAAGTGTCCGTTCTGTGTAGCTTATTTGTGTACGGTGTGCTGTCCGCCAATCCGATGACACCTCTGTCCGTCCGTCCGAGTGGTTCACCTGGTCCGCGGCTGCAGGCGCACACGGAAGCCTTCCTCCCGTTTCAGGATAATGTCTGCCTGCAGCTTGAAGTCCGATTCGGTCAGGTCCGAGTAGACACGGTAGTTCCGCAATATGGTCGACAGTAGGATCTTTAGCTTGAGCATCGCGTACTTGCGCCCTAAAAATTATAAGTATTTTATAATTATAGTTCATATTTATAAAATTTTTATTGTTTTCCGGACTTACCCACACAGCTGCGTGGCCCCGCGGAAAATGGGACAAAGGCGTAGTAATGGCGATTGGCCTGCCTTTCCGGCAGGAAGTTGTCTGGATCAAAGACGTTCGGATTGGCGTAGACCTTGGGATTGCGGTGCAGAAGGACGGTGGCCACAGTCACCGTGGCGCCCCTGGGAATAACATAGTTGCCGGAATTCAGCTTGAGGTCCTCCTGCAGTTCGCGTGCGATTAGCGGGACGGGAGGGTACATGCGCAGGGTCTCCATCAGGCAACGTTCCAGATACTTCATCTCCAGTGTGTCCTGCGATCGGAAATATGGATATCAATCACAGTAAGTACTTTCTGTATATAGTTACCCACCTGAAACGTGGCCGGTCGCTGTGAGTCACCGAAAATGGAGTCGAGCTCGGCGAGTACGCGGTCCTGAATGTCCTGGTGGATGCCCATTAGCGAGAGGAAAAACGAGGAGCCAGCAGCCGTGGTGTCGTGACCCTCGAACATGATGGTGTCCACCTGTTCCTTGATTTCCGTATCAGTAATAAGAGCTCCATTCTGTGCACTTTCCAGCATCAGATCAAGGAAAGCCAGCCGTTTCTTCTCGCCAATATCATTGTCCTCCACATCCAGATCATCCTTGAGTCCAGCGGACTGGCCATAGGAGAGTCCCGCCACTGGAGTTGTCTTCTCTTCATTCGCAGCCGTTGAGGTCACAGCCGGATCCTGTTCACGTTCCCTTTCCAAGGCAGCCGCCTTCAGTTCACACTGAGCCAACGATCCACGTGTGCCCTGCTCAAAGGCTGCCTTTTTGCTCTTAATCACTTTGGTGGTCAATCCGTGGATGATATTCAGCAGACGACCCTGCTCCTTATAGTAACGGGTCAGCGTGAAGACGAACTCGTTGCGCAGGAAGAAGCTGCGATGGCGGGCGTGCAAGATGTCGCACATCCGCATCACGGCCATGGCGTACTCGAAACCGGACTTGTCCTGCGTTTTCTTGGACACGCCCATAGCAGTCTCTGGAAGGCCAAAAAAGGTACACTTAGAATAATAAATAAAAAGAAAGTCCTGAAAGGAAGTTAATTTGTCCAAGAAAGAAGCAACGAGAAAGCAGCTCAGCCTGAATCCCAGTTAAGGCATGTTTAAACCACGTGTTAAATGTCACATTTGAATCTAATTTTTCCGTCCAGTGCAGACTCGGACTCGGTGTTTTGGAGATCGAGATCGGAGATGGACCCCCAGCCCAGCACAAATGGGGGGAAGTGGAATGCACTCGCCTGACCCAAGCGCCAATTGAACTTAACAAACAGACAACAGGCGACGGAGGTAGCCCCCGGTTTCCCCGCTCCATCCATCTATCCATCCCGGCTGTCTAATTGTAGATACAATGCATAAATAGATCTATAGATGACAGCATAAACGAGCTTACGGACAGATCCGCTTTGGGGAGTACAATCTTTTTGTGCTGTGGGAAAAATGTGAGCCAGGAATTTGGTACATTTGTTTTGAATTGAGATAGCCATCGAAAGGAGTTTTTAAGTCGAACGTTCTCTCTACATTTTGTCTTAGTTTATAAGGAAGAAGTTGTTACTTTAAGGGATTGGGAATAAGTGTGAAAAATATGCTTAACATAAAATCTTCACTATCTTTCAATCTAACCATTTACCATTTACCATATCAAAATAAAATCTTCAAAAAATTATACAAAAGTTAGCTTGACATAGAAAGTAATAAGGATAGGTTCTTAAATTTGCCTTGACTTTTGTTTGTTTTGAAATGAATTTAATTTATTCAATCTTCACAGCGATCTAAAGTTAAGATAGGTCAATAAAAGTCTCGTTTATTACCCAGATTATATAGTATAACTGAAGGCCCAATCAATGATGGCTTTATATAGTACATAAACACTTCCATATTTCGTGATGACTTGTATGGCAAATGAAAGGAAATCTGTCTTATGCAATGACATTTGGTTTTTCCTGCCCATTCTTACGATTCGAATTGTAAAAAATTAGCTGTTTCGTAGTTTTTCATAGGCTGGTTGGGTTGGTTTCGTTCAGGTCTTAATTGCTAATTGCCCGTTTGCGTCAGACCCCATAATCGTGAACCGTGAACAACAACCTCAGCTCTGAAAATAAATGTCGGCCGTTGCATTCAAATTTTCCTGATTAAATGCTTAATGGCAATGCGACGTGCCTTTAATTGCAGCTGAGTACTCTGGGATTCGTTGCATTTTCGTTTGCAGTTCGGCTAGCTTCGGTCCCGAACCCCCATCCATCCATCTATCCATCTAACCATCCAGCCATCTATCCAGTTGCTAAATGCAATCTTGGCTGTATTTCAATTGAGGGCTCGGATTATGCAATGGCCTAGAAATCAATCCCAAAATCGGCCAAGCAATCCACTGGCGACAATGTCATTAACATTGGCCGCCTTCCAATTTGTCTAGCTCTTGGCGGTTTCACTTTTAGTTTGGTTTTATTTTCCAGACCTTAAAACGTGTTTGGCTTTAAGCGATTTTGGTTGATTGGGTGGTATTTGCATGGCTAACAACCCATTTTGGGTGGTCTAAAGAGTATAGGGCTAACCTTAACCTGCATCTAGGAGTGGGTGGAGTTTTCCTTCTTATTGGGCTTGGGGTTTATCTTTTAATATCCTGTCAGTTTTAAGGGGATTCTTTTAGGGCCAAATATTTTGTAGATTTTAGCTTTATCTACAAAGCTAATTACTTTCCCTTCGATATATTTTTTAATCATCAACTTGAATTAACAATTTAAGCCTCTTTAATTATGGAATTTTTGTAACTAAGCGAAATGATCGTTTGGAGGACAAAAAATCCAACCAGTTTGCAGCAGTTTGGCAGATAATTCGGTGGCATAATTCGGTTAGATCGGGGGCCGGGATCTGATATATATATATACGTACATATATATCTCGTTTGCGCCCATTGTGGGGCCACAACAAAAGCAGAAATTTTTGATTTGTCAGTATATAGGGAAATGGGTCTGCACTCAATTGTGTGTGGCATACAATATAATGTATCGCCGTATAGTATGTTTTTAGCGGAGATTAGGTGACTTGGGCACACGCATATAACTGAAATGATGCTGGGTATATATCATATATATATATATATATATATTGGGGATGATCGCTGTGCGAGTGCGAGTGCGTGTGGGTTGACTGTACTTTTCGTGTAATCACCATGACGGATACAGCTACAAACTCATATATATATATATATATCACCGTATCCGTATCTCGTTTCTATATCTATTGCTATATCACTTACCCAATAGAATCTCCACGGTTGCCTCGCTCATGTAATCATGGCAATCAAACGTGCGACCATCCTCCGCACGCAGTTTCCTCACCACATTCCGCGAGTTCTCGTTGAAGAGCTCGATGAAGCTCTTCAAGACATTCAAATGGAATGTGGGTGCTATCAGTTTGCGGTGCGAACGCCATTTTTGACCTGCAACAATAGAAATATATAGAAGCGATCAAGAAACTGGATAATAGAGACACCTGATCTTACAAATCATAAGAACTATCAATAGGTGGTTGCTAAATCCATGAAATGTATAGCTAGAAGAAGTATTACTAGATTTCTTATTTAAATCATTTGTCTTTAAACCTTCTTTTAATAAACAGACCGGAAATCGACTTCTAACCACTCTTATATGTATATTAGAGGGAATTTTTTTAAGAACTTCTCTAAGCTTACTCCGAAACTAAGTCTATAAAGAATCATATTCAAGCTGAAAGAATGAAAAGCAAAGTGTAGCTTCCTTTTCCAGAATATTTTTTGATAAATTATTTATAAGAAATTTCCGAAAAAAAAGCGAAGAACATCTTTAAGAAATTCTCAAAAATTTGATAGCATTTTCATTTTTCCAAGTAAATTTTTGTCCAATTTTTAACTTTAAACGACTCCTTAATTTTTCTCCGTGACTTTTCTGCGACGTTGATTTTATTTATAGCGGCATTGTTGTGCCAACTGTCAGGCTAGCGGATCGCTTAATTAATTTATGATTCCGCAAATTGCATTAGTGGCAAGTGGTCCTCAAATCAGGCCCCCTGAAGTCCCACCGACCCCTCCTCACCTGTGCTGATCAGCAGACCATCGCCCAGCCAGGGCTTAAAGAATTTGTACTCGGAGGCCTTGTCAATGTAGACATGGCTGCTCAGCAGCAGCTCCACGTCCCGGGGATCATAGATGAAGACCACCAGCTTGGGCCCAATCCACATCTTGGCTATATGCTCGAAGGGGGCGCTCTTACGGATGACTGTTTTGAAAACAGCTGCGGGGAAGAGATTATTATTGAATTGTTCTTTTGATTTTTTTGAAACATTTAAAAAGGGAAAACCCACTTTTGCTAGAAAGTAATCTACTATTCCAGAATTTATAATCGAAAACAACATTTTTAGCTTTCTATTTAACCTCGAAACATGAAAGTTCATCAAGGATATTTGCTTTGTATTACCAGAGAAAGTTAATAAACTAAGCCTTGCACCTAAACTATAAAGATGCATAAAATTTATTAAGAAATGAAAGTGTTTCGAGTTTAAGCATCATTATTAATGTTTTTATAGATTTCTTTTTGCAAAAGGACTAAACCTAAACTAATTAGTGAGAGTGTATTCTTTAGGGATTTTTCGAACCTATAAGAAAGTTTCTTTGAAGATTAATAATTGTTATTAAGATTGAAAGGATTGATGTTTATCTTTGTCAAAAGAATCTATCAAATCGAATATCAAATTCAATGAACTTTGTTTACACTTTGCAGTTTGATAATAATTTCTGATTAATAGATATATAATTATGAGATTTACATGAAGCTGGTCCAATCACATCGAACAGATGTCCCACGATGGGCAGGCCCCTGGGTCCCGGCAGACGTCCGGCCAGCCTGTAGAGATGAGCTCGGGATAACCGCCAATAGATGTACCACAAGATCAGTGTGGGCAACAGCAGGAAGTAGAAGACGCTGCTGGGCGAGCCCAGGGCGGCGTCCTTCTTCAGCACTTCCATGTCGTTCAAGGGGGAACCTTTTGGGATTTCTAACTCCTCTCTCAATTGAATATGTTAAACTCTATCTTGGTCAACTTGTTCACCAGCAAAACACCAAAAACACCAAACAAAAAAGATAAAGCGATCGGAGCACGCACACTGCCCAGGTACACACGGATCGGTAGCTATCGATCAGCTATCCATGGGATGGGATGGTGGACTCGTGGACCGGATGTTACTCGCTGCTCGTCCAGCGCACAACTAAACGGTGACAGCCCCTCGCCGAGGCATCCAGCGAAAATGATCACGAAAATCAACCACCCACACACACGCGCGAACACCACACACGGGGGATTGAGGAGTTACGGACCCGGACTCAGACTCAGATTCGGAATGGGACATATATATATATATGTATTTATATATATGTAGATATATAAATCAGAAACGATGGACCCGCACTCGCACTCCGCGCGCCTCTGTTCCAGCGACTAGCCAGCGCCGACGGTGCGAACGACTTTTATAGCCAACAATGTGCAGCATATTTACACTGGAAAAAAATGTACTTGAGTTGTTTCTTAAGCCTTAAGGTCTTTCTTAGAGATAAGTGCATCACAATCCTTTTTTTATAAATTTAAAATATTATTTTTAGTTACTTTCATAAGCTAGAAAGATATTTTTCTTGTTAACTTTTAAAGATAGTTAATGCAAGTTAATTTTAATTATAATAAATAATATTTTCATATCAATTTAGACAAAGTACAACGTTTTTTACTGTGTTTAAGAAAATAATTTGTGGGTCTCTATAAAATCAGATCATGTGAATCGGATAAATTCCTCACGAAAAGCGAACAAAATGTCTAAAAAACCAAAAATTTATAGTAAAATAATTAAAAATTTAACCTTTTTTGATAGACTTCTTAGATATAATATTTAATAGCTTAAATCACACACACTTTGAAAATAGATTTGAAGTCTTTTTCGTGGTTTATTTTTAAGATGACATTTATGCTTGGTATGGACATGAATTACAATTAAGATTACCGATAACTTAAGCTACCTCATACGGTTAGAAATCCTCAAAAAAAAAAACATATATTATCTATGACTATAGATAGATATTAAATCACCTGCCGCGCTTTGCATGTGTGTAAGAGTATGTGTGTGCGTGTGTGTGTGTGTGTGTGTGAGTGGCCTCAGTACGTATGAGCAATGTTATTTGCCTAGACATTTGACTATATAATAGCTATAAGTACGGACACTAACTTATGGAAGTCTGGCAGTGCTACAGTAGCCAGTGCTCACTGTAGCCCATGGGTGACGTTCAGCAGCCTAACTACGTTTGATATTTTTTTCTTGATATAGAAATGTTTTTGGTTTGCCGATTTGCCCAAAATTATGCAGCACTTTTTTTTTGTTAAACGATGGAAGCTCTCTAGCTGTCTGGTTTTCTTTAGTTTTTTTAAACTATTTTTAAATGAGTTTAGACCGAAGACTCGTAGATAACAATCTGCAGAACCTTCGGCTTGTTATTCTGTGCCTCCTTGACCTCCTTCAATATGGCATTGGTGATGGCTTCCAAGGCTGCAATATCGGGACTATGTTCGTTCTTCTTGCTATTCCACTTGGGCATGGAAACCTGCAAGATTATTCCCTTGCATTATTATATTTACACATATTTCTAATAACATTTCCTACCGTAAGAACCTTTTGCAGTGCTGTGTAATCTAAGCCCGTGCCTGCTGTTTCCCCCAAACGACGTAAGGTCTCCGCCATGGGACCAGAAAGTTCCTGGAAAATTTGAATATTTTACTAAGTAACCTTCATTTCTTAATAGTAATCTAAACTCACCTGCAACTTGGCCCAACTGGTGGCATATTGCCGTCTCACCAGCTCAATTATGGTCGATGTCAGGGCCAAGCCAATGAGAATATACAAAGTGCACAGCAACATATAGTTGGGTTTCTCTGGAAAAGGGTTAATACATCAGTAAGTAGGTAATAGCATCTTTAGACTTCTTTCTTAACCCACTTGGCACCAAATCACCAAATCCTATGGTTGTCATGGTGATGAAACAAAAGTAAAAGCCATCGAAGAAGGTCCAGTCATCTTCCCAGAGCAAAAGAAGACCAGCACCAGCGGCCAAGTAAACGCCTAAGAAGCCAACGGCCAAAATGGCATAGAACCAGGTTTTGCCTATAAAGTTAGTGAACTTGGGCTTGGCTAAGGGATTAAAATAAAGAAATATATAACATATAATATTATTATATGAGACATTCACAGTGCGTATGAGTGATGTTTTACTACTACTGCTGTACTGTTATTACTCATACGCACTGTTTTCGCTTAAACAGTTCGAGTTATGTAAAATGAGCAGCATATCTCATATAAAAGCTATTATTTTATGTAAATATAGTCACTCACTGGGCATATGTTTGCCAAACACAGAGACAGCCGTGGCAAACAATCGACCCCAATCGGCAATCACAGTGAGGGTGAATGGTATGCCGATGAGGGCGAAACAAATGCAAAATACCCGACCACCTGTTGTCACTGGCACAATATTGCCATAACCTGAAATTAAACAAATTAAAATTGATTAGATTTCTATAGATTATGAGATATTTTAACGAAAATAATCATTTAAGTTGTTAAAAAGATGGCAAAACTATCTGTAAACTGGGAACTATCTATCTGGGATCTATTAATTTTAATCACTCACCTATGGTGGTTAACACAGTCGATGAGAAGAACACAGCTTGCAGAATGCTCCATCGCTCGTAAGGCTCTGGAAAGTCTTTATCGGCCACAATAAGCAGCCCTCCTTCAGCCGCCAGTTGAACGGCCTGCAATACATTAATTGATTAATGATTAATAATATTTGATTTGGTATATGTATATATAACTAACCGCTTCATATTTGGCCAACTCGAAGGCCAACAGCTCGTTGAGATTGTGCACCTCCGTGTTGTTCAAAATGGTGTGCATGAAGCGTTCCCGGTGGGTTTTCACCACATCCTTGAGATGGGAGAGACGCTCCACCTCTGCAGGACGTTCCAAGTGGCGGAATATCTATGAAATGTTAATAAATAAAATAAAGAAAAGAAATTCAAAGCACAGAGGTTGAATTTGAAGAACCAGAAAGTTTACTTTAAGTACTCTTTTAGAGAAAATTCTTTGACTAATTAATAAAGGAACATAACATTACCTAGAAATGCCGATAATGTAAGATTTATTTCAGGAACATTTTCCCATCGCTTTTCCTAGTATTGCAAACGCAAAGCATTTAAATTCCAATAAATTCTGAACTTTACCTTGTGACCTTCACCCCTAAAAACCACGACCAATAATCATAATTATGAACGATAACTTTACAATTAATTTGAATGGGCCAAAAAGCCATTTCCATTCAGTGGAATTCAAAAGTGTTGTTGTTTGATGTTTTAGTGATGGAAGGAAAACGTAAATACAACAAATTCAAATCTTCATTCAATTTCTCGCACATCATCACTGGAAATTTGTTTAACTTGTAGTATGTTGTTTTCGATATAAAAATAGTTTGTGCAAATTGATTTTGAGTTTTATTTTTAACAGCAAATCGAAAGCGAGAGACCGGCCAAAGAAATGTTTGCGAAAAAAAGAGGAAAAGCCGAATGAATTTGGAAATTCAATTTAAATGTGTCAGACAATTTTTCTTTCAGCAAACACACACACACACATATAGAAACACTGAAAAGAAAATGGGGTAAGGAAGATATACGGGCAGCCTTGAGTGTCTCAAAGTGTTGCCATCATTTGTGACTTTGACAGAGTTGCAAAAGCTTTTGAATTCCTAGCACGTCTGCATTTTGATTAATTGAATTCTCTGTTCTTGCTGCCATTTAATTTTAGTTTCAGTTTCAGTTTCAGTTTCTGTTTCTGTTTTCCCCTTCACCAGCTGCACATTCTTGCATTTGGTTAATTAATTCCTGTCCTCTCAAATCAATCCCTTTGGCCATTTCCCTGAACAATTCGAAAGGCGACAAGTTGTCCAACTTGCAATGGTGTCATGTCATCCTTACATCCTACAGATATACTCGTATATAGATATAGATATGGGTATAGGAAGGAACTGGTAGACAGATCTGTAATTTGGTTCGTTACATTCGCAGACAGACTAACAGCTGAAAGTTTGCGTCTGGGTTTATTTCTGTGCTGGCGCATAAATTATAATTATTATTTGGACATGGGTTTTATCGCTGGCTCTGCTCCTTTTGTTGGCTGACCACTGCGAAAGCGGGGGTTCTCCCTGAGTTATGATGAGGCTTGGAGTGTGGGTGGATAAGCCAGCTCCTGGGAAATGGAAGTTTCTTCACACGAAAACTGTGACTGCTACTTTTATTTTTATAATTTACTAAATTTTATTAATATTTTATCAAAATTGATATAGTAGGCGTATCTTTTTTATGTTAACTTAAATGTAATATAACTTTAAAATATATAAATCAACTGCTGTTAAAACTTAAAGGAAATGCCTTAGGAAACATAAACTCTAAACCAAATTCATGACAAATGACACGCTCAGCAAGTTTTGGCCATAAAATCACTGTTTCGCAAAGTGACTTCCTGCCCGCAACTCTTTGCTAGGGCCAGCTTATGGTACTTGTCACTTTGTCACCCCATTTTGCACCACATAAATCACACGCAGCGGAGCTAGAGTGTTTTCCCACCCCTGGAATTACCAATCTCCGGGTCCCAAGCCCCCAACGAATCCTTTCCCCCCTCCTATTTACCCTCCAGTCATCATGGTACATGTGCGGCAATTAACGCACGACATATGGAAATAATGGAGTGGCCCTACGGCGCCTTAATCTGACCACCTGAACTGCGCTTTAGGATCTGATACACTACAAGAAATATTTTTTGAAAAATTATTTAACAAGATAATAGTGATGAGAATATAATAATTTAAGAAAGAACATATTTTTTAAGAGTTAAGTTCTTGAAATACACTATTTGTATCATATATAATCATTAAATATATATTTTACCTAAGTATTATTTAAAAATATTAATAAAATATAATAATAAATCAAATATCCCGCGTTTTTTCCCTGTTTTCTAAACCTTTCGGGAGTGGCAGTAAAAATACAAAAACCAAAGCAAGTCCAAACCTAATCCAGATTGACAAGCCAGCCTAAAAACCAGAACAGAAGTTCCGTTATTCCATTTTTACAGCTGCTCCTCTTTTTGTTTTTATTTTATTTTTAATATCCACCGTTAGAGTACAGCGCGATTTCTCTTCATTACGAAAAGGGGGGAAGCCAAAGAAGGAAATGAAAATAAGAAGGCAAGACTCGAATTTTAGATACCCTATAATAAGCGAATATAAATATAAATTGGCAGTGAACTTTTCATCTCTGGCCAAATATTTCGCAACCTTCAACTCACTTATTTTTAAAATTTCGATTAATAATATATATCTATTACCAAAAGGAAATAGTGGGAAAAATATATAAATGAGCCACTTACCTAGCTTTTCCATATTATTCCAGGTTCCTATCAGGGTCTGCTGTATTTCTTCCTTGTTCTTCTTCACATTCCCATTTCTCTGCGTATATCTCGCTCATATATACATGTACATACTTGTAGGAGGGCGCACAATAATTTCCCCTTTCCCCCCGAAGCACCCTTTGCATGGGCATCTATGCAAACACACACACTTTCCCTTGTCCAGCGGATCACCTTTGCATTATTGCATAGAAAATAGGTAAATTCACAATTTAAACAATATTTTAACTCAAAACACAGTCCTGCGATCACTTTAGGAAATGTTTTTATCTTTTGTTCACATTTTTTAAGCGCACCAGCAAAGAACACGTCATATCTGGGAGAGCGACTGTTTACGACTGACAACAGCAGCGGTGCAAAGCTGGAGAGAGAGTTTGAGAGTGCAGCAGCTGAAGAGAGAGTTACCATCTGAGCAGCGCTGCCACAGATCTTGGCTTTGCCTCTGCTCTCTCAGCTAGACCACTCTCGCTCTCCCAGGTTGTCTCTTTGTCATTCTTAAAAAGTTGCTGGCAGAAACTTCTTGCAAATTTTGTTTACGCGGTGAAAAGTGTTCAAATTTTATTAAATAACGTATAAAAAGTGATCGCAGAAGTGTGGATTTTAGTTTTTTGTAAAATATATTGTTTAAATAGTGAGTTTAGTTAGTTTCTATGTGATAATAAGCAGGGTGCTCCGCTGGACAAGTGAAGATCCATGTGCGGGCGGCAAAGGGTGCTCCGCTCCGCAATGTTTGTTTACATATGTAAATATGTAAGTATGTAAACTTGCACAAATACGTAAATATGTACATTTGTGTAATATTCACAGGTAAAAGGGAATGCAAATCGGAATTCAAGGGAAAAGAACACAGCAAATCCCGATAAGAACATGGAACATTATGAAAAGTTAAGGTAAGTGCCCTGAAAATATCTTTTACATTCTATTTATTTCCATAAATTGGAAAAAGTATTCATATAATGTACATCATTCAGATCTGTTGGAAAAACTTTGCACTAGGGCAGGGCTATTTAAACATAATTTCTTAATCAATTTTTAAAATAATTATCTTATAAAGACAAAAATTGAATATTCGAAGTGAAACTAAACTTTTTTCAGTCTACCCTCACGGCTTTTGCTCCTTATCAGTAATTTATATACCTTCCTCGGTTACATACTTCCCAACGTAAGCAATACTCCTCTTATAAAGGGTATCATAAATCTCGGCTAAAATGTTTTTGCAACTCCAGCTGTTGGTTGTTGCTATGGGTATAAGTATAAGTATAAAAATAATAAAAATAATGATGTGCGCGCCCATTTAGCGGGCGATAATTCATTTCCGCTGCGAGCGCCCCAAAAGCAGGCAACGGTCAGTAAACAACCAGCAGACTAAATGGCAGCCCAAAGACCCAGAACAAGGTCACAGATTGATTCAATATACCATCTTTCGGAACCATGAAGTCCCAGGGGTGAACAAAGATGATATAGGGGGTCATATTTCAGGATCTATGCAGTGCAATAAGCTGGGATGAGCAAAGTGGGTCGTATATAAAAAATTATACTTAAGGTTTTCCATTATTTGAGATAGGATTTGAGGCAACAGGGAACATTAATAATATTAACAAATTTACAATTAATCCCACAACCATAAACAAATGTTTATTTGAAATACCAAAAGTGTTTATCATTAGCTTTTGTAATTAAATAAACTTTTTCGAAATTTTCCCAAGACTTAAATATCCCAAAAATGTATTTACCTAAATCGACAAAACAGATTTAAACACCCAAACATAAGCAGATATAGACGCGTTCACTCAGCGAGCTAACAAAAAAATAACAATAAATCTTTACATTTCGTATTTATGATTATTTACCAGAAGAGAACATTATTACGAGGGCCGTCAGGGTATAAAATCAAAACAAATGCCTTTGGGCCAATGCATAATAAATATAAATTGTTATTATTTATTGAAAATTAGTTCCAGGGGCGGCAATGACCGCTGGTCTAAGGACCCTGACCCATAAGAACAAAAAAAAAAAAAGGAAAAGGAAAGGGGGAAGGCGAAAGTTTCGTGAGTCCTGCCAAAACGGAAGCGTCGTGAAAATTGCGAAAATGGACCGCGGCGTCCGTTGGGTGCCATTTTCAAGCTGATTTCGCTTCAACCCATAACCATATATTGTTTCATTTTCCCGCCAAAAGGAAAGAAAAAAGAAGAGCCCACAGACTTGTTTGTTTATGGGCAGGGAAAATAAATAAAAAAAAAAACGAAAAACGAAAACACTTTTCCACATTTTCCGTATCGCCGCGCTTCTGTCGCTCGCATTTAAAACCGCGGGCGGGCATCGTCAGCGAATTTTGGTTTGTTGATTTTATGAGTTTATGATTTGATACCAAATTAGACATAATTCCCACAAACTTGTTGTTCCATGCATAAATCGCTGTCAGTTCATTAAGTTTTGATTATTTATTGAGTGCGCTTCGGCCCCCCTCCCAGTCCCCGTCCCCGTTCCCGTTCCCGTCGCAATAAAACCGAATGGCATGAGGG